TCCCTTGGGCACGCCAGAAACCTATGATTGTGGGTTCAAATCCCGGTTCGCCCCGATTATGTGTCTAGGTTTGTCAGCACCATACCCGTGCTCGTGGGTTTCACCGAAGTGGTAAACGTCTGATACCTGCATCACTTGGGGCTTTCCTCCCACATTAAGCCGTGATATAACTGGAATACTGTTAAAAGCGCCATTAAACCAAACTCACTCACTCACTCACTGTATGACAAGTCAATGTGTAGGTCATACGAATATATTCGGACAGGAACAATGATATTCATTCCACTTACTGAAGGATCTATTTAACTTGCTAGCAATTACCAAAACAAATGGTGTTCTTATGTATATGGAAAGGGTTAGATAGCTTTTATTCAATCTACTTTACTTGATTATATATAAATGGACTTAACTGTTTTTCTGACGCAAATTTGTAAAACAAGCAGTACGGGTCTATTTCCAGAATGTCCTGAATATTATCACTGTTTATTGTGAATCTGGGAGTGTTGGAACATAGTAGGAATGTTTTCAGATTGGCATCATATTGGCACTTGCATGTAGAATTGGTCTTCCACACCCATGTTTGTGAGAGGCAAATAACGCGATCGGGTGGTCAGGTTCGTAGATACAACACAAGTCAGCTCGTAAAAGGCCTCTAGAAAGTGTCCTTTCCCTGAAATACTCAACAATACACAAAGATTCTAAATTACTCATTGCTGCCGCTGCAACCACAACATCACTCATTTTACTAGCCCTTCAACCATTTGCTGCCAATTGAAAATCACAATAACTACATTTACAACAATATTTACTCCCACATAGCTCAGTATGGACCGAAATATAGCTTTAATTTGACATGATTTTGGTGGTGTTATTCTTTTTTAACATGTGGTTTTATGGGTCCTGCATTAGGTTTTATACCATCTCATGGAGGCGTGTGGTATAAAACCTAACCAATATAGGTTCCAGACGTAGGAATACATACTGTGGCGTGACATGAATGAGGTGATTGTTTAATTTATGCACATAACTTGACACGCCTACAAAGTTAGAAGCCAATCAATGGAGAGTAAGATCAAAACAATGTTCAAATGACCTGTCAATCAAGGCAAGAGGCGAGAAGAACTGCAACAGTCAGACTGTAACGAGCTAGAATAAATATGTCTTGGAGAAGGCGGCTGTTTCAAATGGCATGGTCAGTTACCGCCAGATTCAAACATTAGGTCCCTGAGAACGGGAAGATACAGTTGGAAATATGCTAGTTAGAAATGAAACCCGAAGACATGAAAGTTGTGGAACCGCGGCGAGCGGGGACAAAATGGCGAGAGAGCCTGCACGTTTGCTGTTTCATTCCTTCTCGGCCTTCAGTCTCCATATGTTGTTTGGACAATGAATATGGATGAATTTCGCTAAATGTCCTGTGCATGACTATACACGTGAAGAGAAAGGGAAGTCCCTCGACTGTAATATTTGGATTCCCCGACATTCCGTCGTAATAATAGTAGTCCGCTTCAGTGGGCGTGGCTTAATGTTTTACATTCTTTGGGAAATGGATGCAATAACACGTAACCAATTCAGCCAATTAGAATTCAGGAATTTCAATGAACACAACGGAAATTTAATTATTAGAGTTTTATGGAAGACATTTCCAAATTTGACGCATCAGTAACAATAATTATGTCCGATGCAATTCCCCTTTTTGACAGGAACCTTGTGTTCCCATTTTTCCAGGTGATTAATTAAATTGCCTTTGCATGTGTTTGTGACTGGTGCCAATCGTAGAGCAGGATGATATATCCCCCGGGTCCGTTGCAATTCAGAAATGAAGTAAGGCTACTTATACCCCACGTTTGGTTCATTGCCATTGGATACCTTCAGTTCAGTGAAGACAAAAGTAATGTGTTCAGTATTTTTCAAAATACCAAATCATCAAAAGGCACCAGTTCACCACTGGACTGACGTGAAGTTTCAGCATTAAATAGTCAACATTTGTGCTCCGGAAATTGCCTTGAAATTGTTTTGAAGGATCAACTTGTCGTTATGGAAATACATAAATAACACACAGCTAAAATTGGCAAGACACCCTTTAAATATAAAGCCGGTTGTGCGCCTGTGCCAAGTAGAATATGGATTTATTAATGTCATCACTAATAGGCTTGGACTTGACATTCACAAAAGCATGGCCAGAGGTTTGTGACAGATATTTAGCCTTGAGAATACGACACTCAGAAATAAAATTACCTGGCTTGTGACAATATCAACATCTTACATCTGACGACAAACTTGAATCCAAGGAGTGTTTGTTGGGTAACTTCACACTCTTCAATATTTCAGCTATATGACGGCGGTCTGTAAATAATTGAGTGTTTGACATTATGAGCGTCGAGTTGGAATAATCGGATACGATGACATGCATCAACCAAGTCACCGAGCCTGACCACCCGATCCCGTTAGACGCCTGTTACGATTGCGTTGGTACCAACTATAAGCTAATACTACGAGTCGTAACGCTGACGTGGGAACACCGAACAGTGCGACACTGGCAGAACAGAAACTTGCAAAGAGTCATGTTCACAGCCGAGAGCAGATTCAAGCTTTTCAAAGCATATGTCCGAAGTGGGTATACACGATAATGACTAGGAAGTGTGACATTCTGAAGGTTTCAGGGGAGTTTCATGTGGTAATTTCAGTCTTGATGGTTGATTACTATACAACCGACTTCATCCTCCAAAGTGTGTTTGTTTGTTGTTTAACGCCATAATCAGCAATATTCCAGCTGTATGACGGCGGTCTGTAATTAATCCAGTCTGGAATAGACAATCTAGTGATTGACACCATGAGCATCGATCAACGCATGTGGGATACGAAGACATGCATCAGCCAAGTAAGCGAACTTGACCATCCGACCCCGTTAGTTGCCTCTTACGACAAGCACAGTTGACTTTTACGGCAAGCATGGGTGGCTAAAGGTTATACACAACCAAATGTTTTCCAAAAGACTTCTATAGTAACGTTATATTTTTTAAAAACTTAACTAAGCATTCAACAGCTATAACCTGTACGTACGTGCACAGTTTGGCCTTAGAGCAGCAATAAAAACAAAAAAAACGACTAGCTCAGTCAGCTCCTTTTCCGAGTACAGGAAGCTAAACACACCAATCCCAGTTGCGCACAAAATGTAACCTACTTGAAAATATCTGTGGTCATCATGTTGAAAAAGACAGTACTAAATATAGAAAAACATGGTCAGTTTCAATAACTGGATGGATCTACATTTAAAAGACATAAAAAGGTTACACAATATCTTCCTATCACAGCCTGCAGATGTTTCTGGATCTGCACTGAAGGCACTCGAACTGTCCCAACTGGTTGTGATTTGGTGTAGTTGAACCTAAAAATCTATTCTACCTCTGATCTTTACGGGCATCAAAACTTTGGACAAAACACCTGCATTTCTGTTCTCATTCACGGCATAATTTTTCACAACACGCAATCTTTCTTGATATTGATCCTGTTCTTAGTTTTAGTATATTGTTTGGTAACGTTTTCTTTGCACGTCAGCTGATAAGTGCGCACTGATCTCACGAAATTAGGATACGAGGCAAAATAACTTTCTACGAAATGTATGAACCTAACTGACAATGGCATAGGACATGGCATAAATCTTTATGTTGTGTCATATTGATGTTTAGGACCCAAAAGAGTGGATCAAGGACGTGAACAACACTTTAAAACATTTGAATTGAATTGCATTCTAAGTCGTGGATCACTGGCTCGCAGTAAACCAAACAATCAAGGGAGCATCTATTATTTCAAAATGTCAAACTGTCACTGTGAAATAGCTATTGCTATGCACCTATACTCACAGAAAATTCTATTGAAAACGCTACGTTAAAGTCAAGTTACGTCTTTTCAGCACAAGGCATATTTTCCATCATAGGCTTAAATAAAAGAACAACGCACCCAGATTGAGTTCAGACGTCTGTGTTGTCCGATGTCACCTTAAGTTAAACTCGGCATGCAACCATTAAGAAAACGCAAATCATAAATTTCTAACGTGAGTGTTCCTTGTCAGTTAACACATTGTTGCAAAAGATACACGATTGGGTTTCCCGTTGCACCCTATAGCACTCAAAGTGCCTTTTAAAAACATTCCGTGAATAGTTAATATTGTGAGTGTTCCATGTGTTCCATTGTTCCGAGTACCGGAGAGATTTAGTCAATAGTCTATGGTGGCACACGCGGCTTGGCGACCAGGGATCATTATGATCCTATTATCGGTTGAACTCTATGAGAGTCATGTGAAACGTCAACCACACAATTTCGTCTGTTCGTCCCAAATGTTACATAGTTGTTATCAGTGAGCATGCCCATCATGTCACATATAGTTTTCTAAGTAGACTTCAGAAGACATTTGCTTTCATTTTTGACAAAATGTCCTGAACCTCAAAAGTTGGATATGTAGCTATATCAATGGGCACCATGTTTAGTGACGAATGCCCCATGGATCAAGGAAAGAAGCTTTTACGCTCACCTTTTCACCAACACCTGTTATCATCACTATTTGATAGTGATTCAACCTATGATTGTGGGTTCGAATCCCGGTTCGCCCCGATTATGTTTCAAGGTTTGTCAGCACCATACCCGTGCTTGTGGGTTTCATCAAAATAGTGAACGTCTGATACCTGCATCACTTTGGGCTTTCATCCCACATTAAGCTGACACGCCGTGATATAACTGGAATAATGTTAAAAGCGGCGTTAAACCCAACTCACTCACACTTGAGGGTGATTCATAGTCGGAATCGTACAATCTATTGAATCTGATGAAAGTCGCTTTTCTTTCCTTGGGTTTCTACCAATATGTGAAATTTCAACATCTGGCACATGGCCTATAAGGGTTAAACGTGGTTCAATTGCCCAATGCATTCCGGGTTAAACCTCACTCACACACTCACAATCATATCACTGATATCACAACAATAAGAACATGCTGGAGTCAGCCAACTCTTTTTATGTAAAATATTTCACACAGCTTACAATAAAGTTCAAATAGCACAAGATTGATATATACATCCGTACATAATTGGTATATTAACTGATTAACAAGATCAGCAGTCGAAATGGATGTGGTTGAACATTACAGGAACATGTGGTTGAGAGAGATTGTGAAAGAGAGACAATAAATACAAACGTCTATTCTATATGATTATAGAATAAGAAGATTTTAAGAGTTATCTAACTACAACATCTTGAAAGGTACGCAAACCGTATAATGTGCAGTGTTTCCAAATTAAAACAACATGTAGTATGTGCAGTGCTTTAAACCAACAATATCGTGTTATGTGTATATATTTCACATATTAGTATTGGTATTTACAGTGCTTTAAACCAATTTGTAAACGAAAGTGTTTTTTTTTTAAATCGCACACAAACAGCGTCCCGGTAGTAAGAAACCAGTTATATTCTGAGTCCTTATAGTTAAGGCAAAGGCTTCATTCTGTGTGAACTTTCAGTTCTCCTTCTTCCACAGTTCTCGTGTTTCCACATCAACACCAACAGCGGACCCCGACCTCCACAGCGAACAGTTGCCAAAGTCATAACCAAAATGTGTGCACAGAGTCAGTGCATCACAGGCATGCATGCAGTCCATTCTCGATAAGAGGACCACCACTTCCATTTCCCTCAAGGTCACCATAGCAACGGTGGTTTTGAGAAAAGTTGTTTTGATTGGACATGAGGAAATGTACTTTGTGTACACGCTGAAGTCTTTAGCCTTCTCCACTGCAACGACAATATTACCGATATTTTATTCTACAGTTCAACTGGCCCTTATTACAATATCGTATTAGCCACGATCGTGTTACTTTATTGAAAACCAGATTTGTAAAGCAATTCGCAAGGATGCAATAACTTACGTCGTCCACACGACGCTGTTGTCCACCCCGCCTGGCATCCTGAAGGACACTCTCCCGTCACAGGATCACAAGTCGTGCCATTACAGTGACAGTCAATGTCACATCCAGACCCGTACGTCATAGCAGAACATCCTAGGTACATAGAAACATATACTCAAAGGCAAGCGTTTGTCTGACCTAAATTCTTTTACATACACACTTTTATATGACATTTTGTATTTGAGCCAGCATATATGTTTACGAAAAATGTCGAAAAAGGAAAAACAACCAAATGTCGCTAAGTTTGTATTTTTTGCGAATATTCGGGATAAAAATGCTTCAAATGTTTTCTATAAAAGGCCTTATATCCAACCCAATTACACTTCCGCTATAAGCAATCTTCGGAAGTTGAGGGTTCAGAATTAAAACCACTTTTGATAGTTTTGATTAGACTTCACCATGCTACACCTACATTGTCATCAACCCTTGACTGATCAACAGGAATGAGTGAGTGAGTTGAGTTTAACGCCGCTTTTAACATTATTCCAGTTATATCACGGCGTGTCAGCTTAATGTGGGAGGAAAGCCCGAAGTGATGCAGGTCTCAGACGTTTACCACTTCGGTCAAACCCACGAGCACGGGTATGTTGCTGACAAACCTAGAAACATAATCGGGGCGAGCCGGAACTTGAACCCACAATCATAGCTTTCTGACGTGCCCAAGGGACGCAACTCTGCTCAGCGAATCGCGGCGCCTTAGACGACTGGGCCCCCCATGTCCCCTCAACAGGAATGAAGAGACTCCTGCTAGGAACCATGGCTGGTAAACTCCTGCCAGGAATTATGACTCAACAACTCTGCTCGGGATCATGACTAATCGACATCAGCCAGGAATCATCGATTGATCAATTCCTGTCAGGAATCAAGGGATTGACCCACTTCTGCAAGGAATCATGACTTGTTAACTCATAGTAAGAATCATTGACTGATAAACTCCAGAAAAAGATTTATAGCCTGATCAACTGCGAGGAATCATCAATTGATCAACTCTTGCCAGGAATCAAGGGACTGATTAACTGCTGCCAGGAATTATGGTTTTATCAGCTCCTGCCAGAATGACGTCTGATTAACTCCTGCCAGGGATCACGACTTGTCAAATCCAACTAAAAATCATCGACTGATCGACTCTTGCAAGGAATCATCGACTGATCGACTCTTGCCGGGAATCATGGACTGATGAACTCCTGCCAGGAATCACGACTGATTAACTCCTGTAGGAATCATGGCTAATAAACTCCAGTCAGGAATGACGGACTGATCAACTCCTGCCAGGAATTATGAGCTGATCAGCTTTGCCAGGAATCATGACTGATTAACTCTTGCCAGGAATCACGGACTGGTCAACTCCTGCCAGGACTCATGAGCTGATCAGCTTTGCCAGGAATCATGACTGATCAACTCCAGCTTGGAATAATGACTGATCAACTCCTTCCAGGAATCATGACTGATCAACTCCTGCCAGGAATCATGACTGATCAACTCCTGCCAGGAATCATGACTGATCAACTCCTGCCAGGAATCATGACTGATCAACTCCTTCCAGGAATCATGACTGATCAACTTAAGTTATCATAGCTAAGTAATTGGCAATAGACACTGGGCGAACGGGGGGCCCGGGGTAATTCTTTTATCTATCAGTGCTAATTTCAGATATTCCTTTGGATATTGTTGATACACCATTATTATGTTTCAATGAATTTCGTCAGAGATGTATTGATATAGTTACACAAACCCAGCAATAACCTGATCATTGCTGAAGGAAGAAAGGTGAACGTATCTAGATCAGAAAGACTGATGTGTTTTATCACTCGCAGGAAACAACATAAAGAGAAATAGCATATCGTTTATATTTACTATTGATTGACCTCTTCCTAACGTTTCAGTATGGCTTCCTAGCATCGCGAGATAATATATCAGATGGGCAGACATTGTTACAGCGACTATCATCCAATGAAAATAGGATTATATTGTTATTATATCCTACCATGAACCTTGACCTCGCCAAAGTCGAGGACTATGTTATCTCCATTATCAGTCAGGGTTGACAAAGTCAAGTAGCGCCCCCTATCGTAACAGCGAATGGTGTAGACAGTTGGGATGTCAGATCCATCAGCCTTCCCTGTTACAGTGTGGCATACAGCAGCGCTTGTCGAATTAGATCGTGAAAGTGATATCTTCACTCCATTACGGCGAAGAGCATCTGTCGGATTCAAGGAGACATTAGACCCAGGAGTATCATGACCCAAAGTAATATGCATAATTGGTGGAATGCAGCATAACATGCAATGGACATTGACATTAATTCAAGAATGCGATTTCTGAATTTCTACGCTCAAAATCTATACTAATCCAGTTTAGAATAGGTAGAAAACGATGCACAAAAGTGCTTACGAGAGTCACCACTTACATGTAGCTGCTGCATCTGAATATGCAATGCAACACTGATCATTGAATATGTACATATCTAGGTTTGCTGCATGTCTGCGTTTAGTCGATATAAGGCACCATATTGAGTGAGTGAGTTTGGTGTAACGCCGCTTTGAACAGAACTTCTGTTATATCACGACATGTCAACTAACTGTGGGAGGAAAGCCCGAAGTGATGCATCATAGCACATATTACATGGCAGTAAACGTATTTGTTAAATGCATTGTACTTATATCACCGAACATGATAACATAAAAACCTAAAAGTTGATTATATCTTTTCACACTTTCTGCAACATTCTCATAAATAACATTACTGAGAAAATGTCAAATAAATGCGACAAAACCCTTTCCATATTCAATTATAATCAATTGTAATTGATATTTCATTTCATCTGTCAAAATAAAAAAGAAAGAGACCATCTCGCATTTGATATAAACTCTAGCCCTTGGTGTAGAAACCTGACCGAATAACATTATTACCTGCATTTTTGTTTTCGGTATGAAAATTCCGTTTGCACGGCGTATGTGAAGGATTCATGACACAGGAAGACTACTAACGAAGGAGTAAAGATATACTATGCATCCTCCGTGGCAGAAAAACATATTATGTTCCTGACAAGAATAACAGAATGGACTGCTCATATATGAAGATACAGGAACAATAATATCTAATCAACCAAAGCCTAATATAACTTTTTTTCACCTTTAGTATCTGTTTTGCAATGATATATCCGAAAATACCATTGATATCACACCCGAGTGAATAACATGTAAACTTCGTCGAGAAGACAACACTTTCAGTTAGAGCTACTTTCAGACTGCCTGAAAGACACTACCGTTTTCATGTTTGAATATACAGAATATATATAATATTTATGACGTCTTGTCACTCACAGTCAGAACGAAAGTAGACCGTCACTTCAGGTGAGAATACTTCCTCAGCCAAGTCAACCTGCCACCAGGGAGACGAATCAGTTTCCAATGTGTGAAACACGTTTGGCCAGACAGCGTTGGTGTTCCCATCAACAGCCATCTCTGGCCTCATGTTAGGATGGAAGGTGCTGGCACGAGCTTGCTTTCCTGTCGATCCAACTATATATCCTGAACAGAAAAGGTAACATGAAAACATACATGGTTATGTACATGTTACTTTTCTGTTGTTGGCATTGTAGTGTACATTCTTTTTGTAAAAAGAGTCCAATAGTCATATGTGTTATTAATACTTTTTGACATTCAGTGTTATTAAGCTTTTAATGTATACTCCATCGTTTCCTTCTGTGCAAGGTGTATATAATATAAATAGACATTTGGATCCAGTCACAATAAAATGAACTATTGGCTTTTAGTCTTAGCTCATTCACTCACTTACCCACTGCTGTCAGTATTGTCATATCATCCACATCTTTTCTTCTTTTGCAAACTAAAAAATCTATAAATACGGCATTCTTCCTTCAGTCCGTATATAACTGAACAGTAATCTCACAGATCTATTTGAGCACCTTCTCTGATGGGCCATGTATTTACGATGTTGATATAGTAATAAGTACATCTTTAGATACTTTCCGATCCGGTTCGCTGACTTGGTTGAAGCATGTCATCGATCCCAATTGCGAGGATCGATGCTCATGATATCAATAATTGGATTGTCTGGTCCAAACTCGATTATTTACAGACGGCCATCAAATAGCTGGAATATTTCTGAGTGCGGCGTCAAACAACAAACCAACCAACCAACGGTAGGAAAGTATCTGAAGATGTAATTATAAGTATAACAACATCGTAAATACATGGCCCATCAGAGAAGATGTTCACTGTTAATGCTTTGTTAATTACGAATACACTGCCCACCCTGGTAGTTTCTACGCATATTTACCATGCGTATACTTTTTACCTTTGCTTCCAACCTACCACCCCTTTATTTTGACTAAAAGGCACGGGTTGCAAAGGTGGCAAACTGATTAAGTAAGTTGTGTTCAATGATGTTTTGAACGGCATTAAGTTATGTTACCGCGTGACAGCTGATGTGTGGAAAATGGATAAAACAGGTGGTAGACTCTTATCCTTTTAGTGAAACCAACAACCATGGGCTATGTCCCTCATAAATGACAGGATCCTTGGATCCTTATTCGTCCCATTTATCAACCATGGTTTTTTTGCACCATACCGTTGTACGCAAGTGTAGCTACGGTGCTTAATGAATATATATGCTTCACAGTGGTGATATCATTGAATGTCGTTCCTGTTATTCAACTCACCTTCTGCAAACTCCCGATAAACAATCCAAGACATAATTGTGATGACTTCATTTAACATCATTCCTGTCAGTAATTAACCAGTATTTGACGTATATTATTGTCGGATATGTGCTCTAATATACAGACAAAAGAATGAGATATCTTTCAGTTTTGAACAGCAGTTAGAAGTCCCCTACGCCGGACGCCAAGCAGAATGAACGTGTATGACAGACTCCGGCCCTTCGCTGTTGATCACGACCTGGTCTGAAAAGAAGAACATAAATAGTCACTGTATACATACTCATTGATTGCTTGGTAAGGTTAAAGTATAAGCAGAATATTAATGCGACCTCCCGTATCGTTTTACTTCCATCAAGGGAATGTTCACAAAGCTTTTTCGACACAGTAAGATCGATTCTTAAGATCAAATGTTAACAAACATACTCCCATGGCTACATAGGCCGTATGGGGTTACAAATTGATGGTGGCATAAAAGTGCTGGCGAGGGTCACATATTCACAAGGGCATATTATTCTCTCGGATTATTGCTCTTGGGCGAACTCTTGAAACTGAAACTGATTATATATGCTTCTGAAAACATTACTGAATAATTAAAACATGAACTTAGATAGCCCAGGGACGCCGTATTTTTGAGCGGAAGATCAATCATCATTAACACATGCAGAATATTCATGTAGCTTCCCGTATCGTTTTACTTCTCGCAGGGGATTGTTTACGAAGTTGTTTCGACACAGAAAGATGAATACTTAAGATCAGATGTTAACCAAACATACTCCCATGGATTCATAGGCAGTGTTTGGAGGTAAAAACTGGTTAAGTGCAATGCCCAGATGGCTTTGTAACCAGCAAAAGATAATGTCATGTTGCTCAGAGGCGAGATTTTTCTGTTGACTCAAATTGATGATTTGAACAACATAATCTTAAGGACTTGCACAAACCGAATATGATATATATGTTTATTGTAGAAAACGATCCAGGCACAATAGTGCTGGCGAGGGTCACACTTATCTATTGCATACAAATCAGCAATGTAACATTGACCATTAAATGTACTGACGTACATTTGGAGATTTCATTTTCTGTATAATTATGGGGTCAACTTATATTCACATATTCACAGCTGCACAGTATTCTCTCGGATTAATGCTCTTGGGCGAACTCTTGATACTGAAACTAATAATATACTCTTCTGAAAACATGACTGAACAATTAAAATTGATCACCAAACGTGAACTGAGAAAGCCCAGGAACGCCATGTTGTTGAACGGAACGCTAATCATCATCTCAAACAATGTAATATGCAGACACCAAACACACGCGAAGTCAGCGTTAGACGATAGGATTAACACGAATAACTTTGGACAACCATGCCAAATACTAAAACAAATACATTAGCAATTTAACCCCACTTTTTCGGGTCAAAATATTCTTTAAAATTAAAGACAAACATCAGTCATGCATCCTAGTCATTATTTTCACAACAAGCTAGGGGACATATCCCATACAGAGTTGCAGGACAGAAACAAAAGTGACAAATTACTTTTCCATTGTACGATTCCTACTATACTAGCCACATAAAGAAACTGTGCACGGAGAAAATATATTCTGGATTGAAATACAACACAGCAAGAACAAAATGATGCAGACGCTGTAGCAGCTGAATGATCGGACCATAAGAAAATGTCAACGGGACCTGAACAACATCTGTTACGATGACGTCAGAAGATCAAAATGGAGTAGGGGGTCAAACGACAAAGTCACAAAGTCAATAACGGGTATGACCACCCTGTGCGTGAATCACAGCAGTGCATCGGCGACGCATGGAGTCCACCAAATGGGCATGGAAGGCCTGGGGAATGGCCTGCCATATCCTTCTCAAATCCTGTGCCAGGTCACGGACATTATCTGGAGGATGTGGAAGACGACGCAGACGGCGCTCCATTTCATCCCACACATGCTCCATTGGGGAGAGATCTGGAGAAATTGCAGGCCATGGCAGTAACATGACATTGTTATGGTGAAGGAAATCCATTGCGACCCTAGCCGTGTGAGGACGAGCGTTGTCCTGTTGAAATGTCAATCCCGGGCCATGACGTTGCAGGAAAGGAATGACCACAGGCCGCAGAATCTGATCTCTGTAGCCAGCACCGGTGAGATTGCCCTGAACAACCACCAAAGGGGTTCGGTGCCGTGCTGTTATCCCGACCCAAATCACCACGGAGCCACCTCCAAAACGATTCCTCTCCACAATACAGTTGCGTGCATAACGTTCTCCCAAACGCCGGTAGACACGTTGGCGCCCGTCACTGTGGGAAATGTTGAACCTCGATTCATCTGTCAAGACAACATTTCTCCACCATATTCGAGGTTGGCGAACATGATTTCGACACCATCTTAGACGGTTGACTCGATGACGGTGTGTCAGGATGGGACGTATGGCAGGGCGTCGTGGTCGAATCCCGTACTGACGTAAACGATTCCTGACAGTGTTGGGATGGATACGGCGCAGTCCAGGAATTGTCTGGGACGTCGTTACTGCCGTTTGGAACCTGTGTCGGAGATGTGTAACTCGAATCCAACTGTACTGTCTTGGCGTCGTTACTCGGGGACGTCCTGAACGTGGGTGGTCGGCAACATCATTTGTGTTCTGATAACGCCTCACCAATGTCGATATCGTGTAACGATGGCATTGGAAATTTGTTGCCACCTGTTGTTGCCTCATTCCCGCTCGGATCATTCCAATGGCTTCATGACGCTGTGCAGCTGTCAATCTTGGCATGATTTGCTTGTGATATGCTTGTGTCTGCGCCTGAGAAGTTTTGAATTTTTGAATGACCACATATCATGCTTTCCAAAGTGACAGCGAATTTTGAATTGCACATGCTGTGTACAGCTGCACAGGATGCACGTGCAGTAACACATTGCACGTCCATAGGCCCCCATTAATGACGTCATATCGCATGGCACGTGCATGAGCGTTTGAATTTCTCCAATAATTGCTGTGTTCAAACCTATCTTTCATATATTGACGGTGTGCCCTTATATCTATATTTTCTCCGTGCACAGTTTCTTTATGTGGCTAGTATATATCACAAGCATGCGTTTACGACCCACTGTCAAATAGCGATGATAGCCATATGGAAAAGCTCTCTAGACCCATGGAGAAAGAAACGTCAAGGAAAAGATTAAGTTGTCAATGGCAGCAGGAGATAACAGCAGGTACAGCACTCAGCTGATCAAGACATGCTAACATTAAAAGACTGAGCCTTAAAATTAAAGACAAACATGACGATGAATTATTTGTTTATCAGTCATGCATCCCTGTCATTATTTTCACAACAAACTGAGTGACATATCCTAGCTCTCAGCTGATCAAGACATGCTAACATGAAAGGACTGATCCTTGTCCTTCCAGATGAGAATTCCAAACTTGATTTGTGCTCAACATATTTTCCATTATGGAATTTCCGTGCCAACGAAGATATCCCGAATGTTTCTATACTGAGGGAGTGCTATAGAAAGATTGTGTCCAAACACTGCATTGGTGACAAAGAGTAAGTGAAAAGGTCTGTCAGCTGAGATCGTCCTTAAAAAAAAACATGTGTGTGTTGTACAAAACGTATCGAACTCATTTTCTGGCAGTTACTTATCGCGTAGTCCGACCATAACAACACTAAAAAGACTATATTCCCTGACAGTGTAGACAAATCTTCAGCTTGATCATGAGTTGCAAATATCTGACACTAAAAGCCTGTACTAGGTCAGTGAAAAGACATACTCCTTGTGTTTTACAATTAAGCCTCCATCATAGTCACAGCGGAACATAGGCAACCATGTGTGTTCCAATTAACTAGGACCCCGAGTCAGAGACAGATTTAGGCAATGGAATACTAATATTTACAGATAAATTCATAAGAAGCCTTCATCCAAGCAGTGACTTAAAGCCAGTGAGTGAGTGAGTGAGTATGGTCTTACGCCGCTTTTAGCAATATTCCAGCAATATCACGGCGGGGGACACCAGAAATGGGCTTCACACATTGTACCCATGTCGGGAATCGAACCCGGGTCTTCGGCGTGACGAGCGAACGCTTTAACCACTAGGCTACCCGACCGCCCCGACTTAAAGCCAGATACAGCAAGACACACATATTGAAGATCAAATACTGCGTACAAGTATTTGTACGGGTTGCAATCGGAACAAAAATCTGTATCTGGGTCTCTGGGGCTGCCGAATTTGGAGGAAACAGGACTCGGCATCGCGGAGAAAGAAGGATGAATGGCGAACGAATCAGGAAGTTCCGGAACCCTTTTCACTTTTGCCTCTTGATTCACATTTTCATTGTCTGAGTTTGGGAGCTGGAAGATGCTTGTTCCATAGGAAAATAGTACACCACACGGATAACTAAAGCTATGCTACCTTAGGTTCAGCTCTCGCGCTGGCATATCCTGTCGAATCAGGAGCAGCTATCTAACTGGTACTACATCTAACTAGACTCAGGTTATGCGAATGGGACTCGTTAAATAGCCTTTTAAAAATGTATTAAACTACATTATGTACAGTGATTATTTAGCTAAACCCCATGCTGAGTTTCACAGCAGTGATGTCACCAATGTGCTTGGTTGTGCATCGACATTCACTCTTTTTCTTCTCTAAATGATAGTAGGATGCTCCAGAGAAGTCTTGATTTTGCAACGGTAACAGTTGTATTTGAACCTATGATTATTCAAATCTTACTATCCAGTCAAATGTTATAGCAAACATCTTATTTTATTTCTGAAATGTCGGGTGTCTTGGAAACGGCTTTCAGGCTTGTTCGAAAAAGTAGTCCAACAGTAGTACCTATGCCACTTGTGATGCTTGTATCATCACTTGAATGGTTATCCTAAAATGTGACATAATCTGCTTGGCCCAAAACATAAATATATAGCGAAGTATCATGACATACCTGTTACTGGGCTGACGTATGTAGCTTGTCAGTCGTAATGTTTAAAATGGTTTGGCAGACATCAATCGGTGGACACATCTGATGCAGAGTGTTTTCAAGTAAGAGAAACCATACTCTGGAAGGTCGCATTTATATACAAACACTGGTTACTTGGTACATTCTCATTTGTTTATTGATTATTTCGTATACCCTTTGAAGTTAGATGTCATTGATGATATGCATGAACGAGCTTTAACAAAACGGTAAGCGCTGTGCTTATGTTAGTCATGGCGATAAGCACGGTGTTGACATTATACGCGATCGATTCTTTACTAACTTGAATTGACATTACTTGATTGGATATGAAGTAATATATTATATATGATTGATACACTAGCAATTAGATATTGATGTAGAATGAATATGTAAGGGAAGTAACATGAAACGTCAATATCAAAAAGGTGTTGATTACAGCTAGCAATCCTCCCAGCTGACAATTGAATGTACATTCAAATTGTCATGTCGTCACAGGTAGTAGTTCGTGAATTGTTGTGGAGCCAAATATACACTACTGCCTAGAAGTTCATTCCCCTTACACGCATGGGCAACGCGTTACGCAACCAGTGTGCATCGGGTTGGTCACGCGTGTGAGACCCGTGTGCAACGCGTTGCACACGGGTGTGCACCCCGTCCGCCACTCGTGTGCAACGCGTGACACACTCATTAGAGGGGGAACAAACTTTTGACCAAAGGAGGACCCGTGTTAAGCTGAACCTGGAGGTGGTAACAAGGAGAGAAAATTTTGTTATCCTGGCGAAAAATGATAATACACATGTATTTCCTCATGTCTCCTTTCTTTATGTGATTTTGTGGGAATAACACGAATACTGTTGCGATTAAATAGATCTGTTTTGTTTTATACGACCATTGCTTCTAAATCCGATGGTGTTAAGAGAATACATGGCCCTGGAACATGTTATTGCAATTGAAATGCTTTTATTGTGATTTGACATTAACCGTCTGTAGTACGACTTTCAGTGATAATATGTATGAGGTTTAATTTGGCGGCGCATTGTTTTTATTGGACCCTAATTACTTTATGATGACTTGGACTCTTTATCACAGCTCCATAGCCGTGAGGCTGGAAAAGAGCAGCATGTAATTAATGAGGGTGGGTTATATCATTGAGGATACACTTGTATACTAATTACCTACTACAGGAAGAGACCTGTAGACGTAAGCGCGGGGTTGTGTTTTAGCTGGCCGTTCGATAATGGCCGCCAGGAGAAGTGAGCTTTGACTGCGTCATCTAAAATAAATAATAAGATACAGCAGTGTTATTTTCACGGTCTGTTGAATAAACTCCCAGCGCAACGGTCAATGTATCTTCTACTTGATCCTTGATACATCATTTTGGCATTCACAATATATAGTATTTCAACGTACAAAGGAGCACTGATCTAAAGCAATTCCGCGGGAGTAGTTGTTACCTGTGCATTACTGTATTTTCCCAGTGAGTACCCGGATGATATAGCAGAAATCTAGACTTGTTCGCGACCTGTGCTCGCCATTCGTAAGCGCATTTTTATTGAAAGTAGAAGGACGTATGGTCACACTGATCAACAAAAATGAAATACAGTTTTTGAAATGTAGGTATATTTGTGTAGAGCATCGGTAATGGTGATGCAGTTTTGATAAGTCACTTGCTTGGTAATTGTGCGATCTTCGTGTACACTATTTTGACTTGCAACACAAAGTAAATATTTCATCTGAACATTGCTTATTTTACCGTGTGTATATGTTTACATTCAAAATGTAAACAGATTTCACTAAGGAAATGTATTAAACGCCTAAATATTCAGTTTATTTTACAAATTAACTGAAAAATATGTCCATCTTTATTAATATGATAACGAATTCCAAATATTTGTTTATGTTTAATATCATCACCAAGTACAGTTCTGTATTGTTTGGCTTCTTTTCTTAGCATAATTAATATATTGTGATGTGTTTAAGCTCTCTTGGTCGTCTTTATCATTTTTAGTCAGTCGGTTAAATAAATGAATGGATTATTCAGTCAATTTGTAAAATGACTGAACTATTTAGATATTTAATAAATTGCCTGAGTGAATCATATTTTACACATTGACTGTAACATATACACGCTTACAAAAGAAAATACTTGTGAAAACAACGTCTTTCGCGCATCGAAAAACTTCCCAACCAAACGGAAAGGAACAAGAATGATTCTGTTCAAAGCTGCAGCGAATGAATGAAAACAAAATGCAAATATCATTATAACAACCTACCAAAGTTATAATGTATCCGGGAATATCAACATAAAGGAACAATATCCATTGCGTCTGCAGCTGTACAAAAATACTTATTCGATGTCAAATGTCTATGTGAGAATCAAATACTTTAATAATAATTATTTGGAAACAATATTTGGAATATATATGAAATATATTAAAATATTTAAATATATCGTTTTCAAACGTTATTTAAATGTATCGAATATTATAACCCGTGTTTGTTTCTTAACTGATCACTTATTTTGTTTCAATTGTTTCACATAGGCGCCAAGTTAGCTGAGAAAGCCCACTTGACAACTATTTTTTTATGTCCACGGTTCTTAAAAACATACATTGAGTTAGATAACAATGAACAACCAGTCAGTGTATTATCGGTTACCCTTTGAACAAAGTATGTTGTTTTTACATCTGTACTTCACGCCATGATATGAGTATTCCCTAGGTTTAGTAACCCTACCTTCACATGTAAACACTTACTTTTGACATATCCACTGTGCAAGATAACAGTAATTAATCAATCAACGTATTTCCTGTTGATCCTTTGATGTCTGGGAATGATCAGTTGATTTACAAAAAAAGTAAAGCAACTGATCATACATCTCTTGCTGGGCTGCCACGTGCATAACTCACATTCCACCTCACTTCAAACCTGGATTTAGATTAAATAATTACCCCAGGTACAAGAAAGACCAAATTTGAACCTTTATCGGGTAATCTGAGTGGTGCTACAACTAAGCATACATGTTATAAATTCATTAACTGAGCAGCAAGTGAATTACGACAAATACAGAAGTGTAGGGTTATACCAGAAAATGTGGATGACAACAAGGGAGTAGTAATTGTATCATCCACGCAATCCGAAATCCGCAAATGCTTTCACTCAGGGATACTTTTTTATTATCAAACTGTAACAATCAGGGGTATTTCCAAATAACGACATCCGATGAGCTTTCGCCGTTATTTGTCTGTTTGTTTAGGCTGAAGAAATTAATTACCATGCGCCCTTTGTTGAAATCTTCATAGATCACGGGTAACCAATCAGTTTTCAAAAATGCGTAAGTTTATTTAGCTGTCCTTGCAGACTGGTAGCCCAGTCTCTTGTCACGCTCGGTTGCGTTAACGAGCAAATTGACTCACGGCAGCTAGTAAGCCCAAGCGGAAATCCAAAGGTCGTATTACCTGAAGAATCAACCTTCATTTGCGAAATATCTACTGCTCTCAAAATCAATATTTCTCCCAATACTAAAAGTCAGAACTTTCTAACCAAGTATTACCAGTTGAAACTGGTCGATGGCTGAACATTCCCAGGGAAGACAGCCAGTGTCCACTCTGTGATTCTATCGCTGTGGGAGATGAATTGCATTATTTATTCCGATGTGAAGCTTTTCACCAACGGCGATATGAACTCTTAAATAAGCAATATCTTAAGTTTCCAAACATTTAAGAAAATTATGACCACTTACAGTGTAAGAAATCTTAAAGGCCTATCTAAATTCCTTAACAATGTGTACAATACAATTGGTAAATTGTATTAGTATCCACTCATCCTATTTTTATTATTTTTGTTAAATTGTACATAATAAAAATTGTAGATAATTGTATGTCATGTTATTCTAAGAATAAATGAGTTTGAGTCCGACACCCGAGAAGAAGCCAGGGATTAGTGCCCCTTTTTGAATAGTTTACAATCATGTGTTTTAGGGTTAGCTGTGTTGGCTTAAACGTATTTTTATTTCAAAAGAAATCTGGATCGGTAAACAAGCAAAACTTGCTTATGTAATACCTCTCCAGGTAACAACTTAACAACAGCTGGATATATATAAGAGAGTGATGAACATAAACATACAAAATGCACAAATGAAATACACGAAGCCAATACACTGAAGCAAGTGGTGTCTGTGAAATAAGGTAATGCAGTTTTCCTTTACCACATGCATAAAATTAAGCTACTCAAACCTTTTGCTTTTGACAATGATGTCATGAACTGATTTAAGAAGAGTCATGTTTGTAGAACTGCTTAACTACTACCATGTAATATCATTTTTAGACCATACCCATGTGTGTAGAAATACACAGTGTTTCTGATATTATCGTATTTTTTAACAGTTATAGAAAAAGTGAATTGCATCTTCAAGGTGATATCGACAAGTGCAGTCTGGTATGTCTGATACATGTCGTCTAAACTTATCAGCGTTTAAGTCACTGCAGCCGAGCCTAAGGCGACAGTGGACAATTTGGCATGATCTATGAAAATATTTGAAGTCAAAATTATTAATAATTGCATCAGAACGATTAATTAAGGATTTGATTTCTTTTAATGAGCGAGCATTTGTTACTTAATCGGATAGAGGGTTCCGCAGGTTGATCATATCCAGAAGAAATGATAATAAGCATAGGTCTGTGTTCTACATTTGATTGTTTGTATGTTGAATCTTTTTCTAAGGTTATATTTGCTGTTATCAGAGAATTGAATATACACTTTTCAAATATTTTGGCTAAGCAACTTGTGAGTGCTACAGGTCTATAATTTGAGCATTCATGTTCATCGCTGACACTGACACCGCATCAGCCCGGCAGTGGACTTGACACAATTATTTGCGCACCGATTATATAACTCCTACAGACAGGTGGGGTGGTTGTTCAAAGCGAAACGGACGACCCCGTCTGTTATCTAATAAATGCTGTGCGGCGCCTTTGATCTTGCCTCCAACCATACACCTTATAGTAGTAAACGACGATCAGGATGGCCTGGAAATAAACACAATTATGTCTGCCCAGTGTATCCACAATTAACTAGAATGCTTCATATCTACAAATATATATAGAAAATAGATATTTGC